GGCTTAGCCCAGGAAGCTCCAGTACAAGGAACTGCTCTTGCTCTCACCATGCCCATGTTTCGGAAGAGTTCACTGAGGCCCACTGAGGGGGACATGCCCAGGGTAATGCTGCTTCCCCCCTCCCAGTGGAGGGTCCTCTCCAGAGCCTGAGAGGGTCTTCTCTCCTCCCATCCCTGCTCCATTCCTTCTTCTTGACATCGATTCTGGGCTCATGGTCCCATTGAAATATTAGTTTTCTTTGCCCTTCCCTCCCCACCTTCTCCTCATCTCCACCCTGAAGCACTCCCCTTTTTCCAGAGGAGCCTGCCTCATGCAAGGAACGGATCTAGTCTGAGCCAGCTGTGTGTCCTGGACCAAGTTACAAACTCCACACATGCCCTCCCCTTTGCTCTTCTCCAGCAGAATTTGAATATCAATTAGTAGCTCTCAGGGCTCAGAAGCCTCAGAAAGAATGGCCCCCATCTGCCCTATAATCACAGGGCTTGTACCCTTTCTAAACACCTGCTGGCAAGCTCACCACTGTCAAGAAGACTGAGGGCACAGAATGGTGGAGAAGGAGCAGGGATGTCTTCAAGACAGTGGCAGGCAGCCCATCTTACAGGAGGTGGGGCAGGCCAGGGGCTAAAGCCAAGAGCCTACCTGGCAGAGAATCCCAAAGACCCCATGGCAAGGTGCCCCAGGGAAAGACTTTCTACCTCTGCTCTCTCTGCCCAGGGCCTTTAAAAACTAAGGAGCACAGAGCACTATTGCTTTTTGACCAGGGTGAGTGATGGTCGGAGCGAAGGGTCGAAAGAGTCTTCAGTCCCCCAGGAAGGGCAGAATGGGAGATCTCCATGGCTGGCAGTTGGGGCAGCAAGAGGAGCCTCGCAGGGTTTGGGAACTCTGCACCCCTCCTTTTCAGGATCCTTGTGGCCCCTCTGGGGAGACAGTTATGCCCATTTTACAGAAGAGGATAGTTGGACCTCAGAGAGGTGAAGGCAGGGGGAAAGCTGAGAAGCAGGGAGGCAAAGGTTGGGGAAGTGTCCACGTGGCCAGGCCTGGAGGCCCAAGGGAACAAACTGGCGGTCAGAGAGGCGGTAGACAGGTAGTGGGCCTCTGCAGAGGGCAAGTCTGCCCGTGGCAAGGGAGGGCCAGGGTGGGATGGGACAGCAGCTGCTCTCTACTGCCTCTCCTCCAGGATCCCTTGCGGGGCCTCACCCTTTCCCCCGGGCCTTGAAAGTAAAGCTCAGATTTAAAACTGTGTTGGGGAAATAAAGGATAATGGGCTCTAATTACTGCTCATTAATCCAATTAATTAAGCTAATGTATGCAATAAGTGGTATCAGTTATCGGAACAAATCAGTTAATACAGGCAATTAAAGGGGTTGGTTATTTGAATAATTAATGTGGCTGATTAATGGGACTGATTTAGCTCAATTGTCAGTATTATTTATTAATTGATTTCACCACTAATATTAGAGAGGAAGTGCCTTTTAAGTCCATGAAATAAAAAATAATTAATTGATGGATCTGAGTTTGTAAAAATGGAAGCTTTGATTTCTGCATTTGATTATTACAATGGGAGGGAGAATGTTCTAGAAATCTCTAAGCACACTGTGATCTGAAGGCCAAGTAGGAACCACTCTGACCCTAAGGGAGAGAGGAGGTTCCAAACAAAGGGAACATCATGTGCAAAGACCCTGAGGCTGGAGGGAGCAGAGCTCTTTGGAGGATGTGCAAGCAGGCTAGAGTGCAAGGAGGAGCAAGGGGACAGAGGAGGGTTGGCTGACTGTGCCAGCCACAGAGAGCTGAGCCTTGAGAACCAGACTTTGTTGCATGGGGCTGCTGTGTGACATGTATTCATTCAAAAAAATCTTTATGGGGTGCCTGGCACTGCTCTAGGCAGATCCCAATTCCTGTCCTCTCAGAGCTTATGTTCTAGTGAAAGAAGATAGTCAATGCATGGCAGGTCAGATGAAGTGCTTCAGAGAAAAAGTGTAGGGAAGGGAGGTGGGGAGTGCTGAGAAGGTCACACTTTCAGATGGGTGGTGGGGGAAGGCCCCACTGAGAAGGGGACATTTCAGTAAAGATCTGATGGAGGGCAGATTGGGAACTTGGTGGTATCTTGGGGGAAAGTAGTCCAGCAGAGGGAACAGAAAGTGCAAAGGCCCTGAGGTGGGGACAAAAGCCAGCAGGAAGCCAAGCGTGGCTGGAGCAGCAAGAGTGAGGGGATCAGGATAGGACATTGGGTGGGAGAGATGGTGAGAAGCCAGCCTGTAAGGCTGTCATGGGACTTTGGCCCTTACTCTGAGTGACACTGGGGGCCACTCCAGTGAGTTGAAGCAAAGGAGATCCGTGATCTGACTTTCACTTTAACAGGAGAGCTCTGGCTGCTGGAGTGAGAACAAGTCACAGAGGACACACACAGAGGCAGGGAGGTCAGTGACGAGGTGTGGCAATAGTCCGGGCCAGTGATAACAGTGGATCAGAGGCAGACATGGTGACATTATGTCTTGGAAATCCTGGAGTGTTGTAGAGGGGCAGGGTGATGTGATGGGGACTAAGTGTGGCCCCAAGCCGGCAGTTTCTTAGGCCTCGGCCTCCGCCCTGAGCTCCCCCATTGGCTCTGCCCACCCCAGCCCACTTGTACTTTGGTGCAGGCACCCCCCTCCCCAAGGCTCTGTTCCCTCCCCAGGGCCCCAGGGGAAGGAGACAGGAAGCAGGAGGAAGCACTGGGGCGATCCCAGTGTCCTGGCCAATCTGTTCCCAGCAGTGGGCGGATTTCCGGGACTGAATGGACGGAAACTCTGGGATGGGACACCTCACCCGGGAAAACCTGGCAGAGGTGAATGTGCAGGGGAGGGGTCCCCACTCCACCTCGCTCCCACCGCTGCTTCTCAATGAGGAGCCCCTGGCCTCAGGAGCTGGGAGCCCCGTGTGGAATTCTTATCCATGTAATTTAATAAATTATGTTTATTTTATTAAATTTATGACATTTAAATTTAAATATTGGGCTTTGGATGGGAGGAAGAAGTTCCCCAACGTTTGACCTCCCTCCCTATTTTGTAGATGGGAATACTGAGGCCTCTCCTAGCCAGAGAACCAGGGCCCAGCCTGACAAAATTAATCCTCATGCTAGTGATCAACACTGGTTGAGTATTTACTATTCATGTCTTCCTTTAAGCAAACGTAAGCTCCTACTATACGCCGGGCACTGTGCTGGGGGCTTAATGATGAATAAGACAAAGTCAATGCCCTCTGAAGTTGTCAGGTAGTTAACAGTCAACAAATAAATGTAAAATGATCATTTCAGGCAGAGACTGAGGAAAATAAAGCAGGGCTGAGGACAGAGAGTGAAGGACCAGGGACTCTTCTAGGTAGGGTGGTCAGGGAAGGCTTCTCTGAGGAGGGGCATTAAGCAGAGCCCTAAATAAACTAGGGGGAAGGGCAAGCTGCATGAAGATCCGGAGGCAGGGCATTCTAGGCAGAGAGAACAGCAAAAGGCCCTTGTAAGAGTGAGCTTGGCGAGGAGGCCAATGTGTCTGGGCAGAATGAGGGATAGAATGAGTGAGGGAGGCATGTTGGGGTTTGGCGAGGTGGGTGGTCAGGCGCCACCAGGCTACCCAAGGCCTTGTAGGCTGGGGAACATATGTTCTGGTTGATGCCTGTTTTTCTGGCATAACGATGGTATCTCTTTACTCTCACAAGGGAAGAAAGTTCTGGCTTGGGTGACACATTACATGGCCAGCCATTTGCAGGCCACAGAGAGGGGTTTAGATCTTGTTCGGTGAGAGGAGGGTGGCCAGGGGCGTGTGGGGGGTGCTCTGTGCCCGTGACCTGCTTGTTTTCACCTGAGTGCCTCTGGGGGTGGAGTGGAGGCCGAGTGGGGTGTGAGAACAGACAGAGAGCCAGCGAGAAGGCTGCTTGCTGTGTGCTCCATAGAGCACAAGGGGCTTCTGGATGGAGCAAGGGCTGACCCTCGGAGAGATGTGGTCAGGACCTATTTTGAAAGTAGAGCTGCAGGATTTCCTGATGGGGTGGGTGTGGAGTGTGAGTGGAGGAGGAGGCACAGATGACTGCAGATTTTTTGGCCAAACAAAGCAACAAGGATGCAGCTGACATGAACCGAGATGGGAAGCGGATGTGGGGAGCAGGGGCGTGGCAGCAGGGGGCGGGTAGCGACAGTCCAGCTTTGGATGTGGCAAGTTTGCCATGACTTCAGACATGCAAGAGGAGATGCTAAGGAGGGAGTTAGGAGGGGCAGTTCCAGGCTGCATCAGAGAAAGGACGGCATGTAAGGTCAAGGACCCGGGGAGGTGGCTCACAGTGCCCCTCGCCCCTCCCGAGGAAGGATAGTATTTAGCTGGCACCTGGGAAGGATAGCCACTCCCGGCCTCTGGCCTCTCCAGGCCCCTGAAGGCTGAGAGGATCGGTTCCACCATAGCCAACAGTCACCAGCTCGGTGTGCTGCTGAGTGGGCCATTCTGCACTAGGGAGAGAGTGTAGGGTGAATGGGGGGCGAGGAGGCTGAGCCCCAGCCGGGGGGCACCAGCGATTGGAGTGGAGTGGGGTAAGAACTCTCCAGCGTCCTGAAGCTGGGCGAAAACAGCATGATTCCAGAAGCAGGCCGCTTGTTAGGTGTGTAACATTGATCAGCTCCCAGAGTCCTTGCCACAGCCCGATGAGGCAGAGCTGTCATTATCCCCAGTTTCCCAGTAGGAAACCCAGGCTCAGAGAGGTGAGGGGACTGATCCAGGGTCACACAGCTGGCGAGTGGAGGAGGAGCCCTGCCAGCAGACTCCGGTGAGTGCTGTCTGGTGCGATGCCCCCTCCTGCCTTCAGGATGAGCCCTCTGGGGCGCTAGGGTCAGGTGCTACCACCAGGCAGGTGGGCAGAGGCTGACAGCTGGGGAGCCAGGTAGGACTGGGGACACTCACCACTCTTCTCTCCTTCCAGGGTCGTTGGAGAGCCGGAGGCTGGCGGGGACTATGTGAAGGTAAGCGAGGCTGGGCAGGGATGGCTCAGAGCCTGCTCCATGAAGGGCAGAGTTCTTTTCTGAGCCTTGTTAGAGGCCAGACCTCACTGCCTGGTCCCAAGAGGAGAGGGTCTCAGGGTTGGAGTGGCGCTTGGGATCTGGTTTCACTCCCAAGGATCTTCTTCCCATGCCTGCCATCATTCTCTCCTGGCCCCAAACCCAGGACCCCCCACAGTTTGTGACCACCAGACCCTCCCCCCCACCACTTGCCACCTGCCCTGGGCCCTGGGATGTCTCCTCGTGCAGATCCAATCCCACCCGCTCTCTGAGCATGTGCTGGTGTTAAGAGGTAGGAGCAAGAAAAGACGCCTCGGTTTTCATCACAGAGAATGGGCCCAGCTCACATTTACCACAAGCTGAATTTGTCCTGGACACTGGGAATGTTGAGAATGCAGCTTTGAAACAATGATGATAAAGAGAGTAACATAACATCACGCGAGCCTACTGTGTGCAGAGCCCTGTGCTGGCTGCCAGCACTGGAGGGGAGATATTTCTGAGCTCTGTACGTGAATGAGGTCTTTGACTTCCTCCCTCCCCACTGGGCAGGGAAGGCCTTTGTGTACCCATGGACATATGGGGAACTTGGGGCCCAGAGATGCCCAAAGACGCACAGTGATTTGCCCATAGCCACACAGCTACTATGGGGCAGAACTGAGACTGCAATCCAATTTTATTTGATGCCAAGACCATGGACAGGGTCCTTGGCCTTCCACCTCCAGGAGCACGCACGAGGAGCCAGGCTCCCTGCTGAGCACGGAGCATACAGCAGAGGGCTGGGAGCACGAGGTCTTGTGTTCAGAGGGCTCCTGGTCCACCTGGGGACCAGGAGAGAATCACATGGTTGTTTGGGCTTGTGTTTTGTAATCCAGCAGATTTAGTCCCAGATCTGCCACTTACTTGCTATGTGGCTTTGGGTTTGTGGGTCACCTTCCTGAGCTTCAGTGTTCACTGTATGAAATGGGGGTAGCAGTGGCTCCTCCCAATGAGGGTTGCTATGGGCTCAATGAATCTGTGCCCATAAGTAGGGTTGCTGGGCCTGGAATAGAGCAGGCTGGCCCAGCTCCTGATCCCAGGGACATTCCATCACCCGAGATGCTGCCAATAAAGCCCTGTGTAAGTGACTAGCCATGAGGCAGCATGGGAAGTGCTCAGAAATCTGCCCCTCACTATCATCAGAAGCTTCAGATAGGAAGCCACTGGAGCTCAGCAGGTAAGGGATGACTTTCAGCCTGGGAGATGGGGAGGGGGAGATCAAGGAAGTCTTTCTGGAGGAGGAGGCATTGAAACCAAGCCATTGCAGTTGACCAGGAACATTCACCAACATTTTGTCCCCAAAGGAAAAGCTGAAAAGGAGCAAAGATAAGCAGAGATAGTAGAGTGGTCCAAGCAGAGGCAAGAGTGTGGGCAAGGTCAGAAAGCAAGCTGAGTGAGCCCGGGAAGTGCAGCCCAGGGTGGTGAAAAGTTGAGCTGGAGCTGCTCCTGGAATCTGGGCCCTGGCTCTTCATTCAGAGCCCTTACACCACAGGGGGACAGAGGCCTCAGGGAGAACTGGCACCAAAGCCAGTGGGTAGGACACAGGAGACACACATTTTAGCACTCCACAGTTTTCAGATACCTGGCAAGGTAGTGAGATCTCCATCACTGATGGTAGTAAGATCCCCATGAGGACTATTAGTTTTGTATTTTTCCTTTAGTTTATAGGGCTAAACATGTACTTTAAAATACTGTAAAAGAAATAATACCTGTTCACTGGAACTGATGAAAGGATGAAGTCAAATGAACATTAGTTTTAGCTTCAAGCCTCAGACGGTGGTAGAATCAATAGTCAATTACCAACAATCCATTCCTGCCCTGAGGTACTAGCTTCCAGAACTCCAGGGTTCTCAGACCACGATGTGAATAATTGGATTCCAAGTCAAGGATTCTGAAGTTCCAAGACCATAAAATTCCACGCTCCATGCTCAGAGCTTCATGTGTATTTGTGGAAAACAATCAAACAACTGAGGCCCAGAGAGGTAGACTCACCTCCCTAATGTCTCACAGCCTGTCAAAAGGATTTGTACCCTAGGCCTGGCTGATGCAGAGTCAGTGATGACCACCCCCCACCCCCACCCCCCGCTTGATTCTAGGACAAAAGTCCAGATTGTAAGACAATAAGCTTGACAATAATAGCATGCATTTATTGAACACTTACTTTATGCCTGGCTACTTAATGTGCATCGAAGTCAGCCAAGGCTCAGAAGAGTTCTGTGAGGTCAGCACAAGTATGTTTTCCAGATGAGTGAATCAGGGCTCCAAGAGAAGGGGCTGGTGGGGTAGAGGTGGGGGACCCCGCTAGCTGAACCCAGGTTGGTGCCCTAAGCATTGAGCCTTACCGGCTCTCTGCACCCCCAGAGTCTGTCAGTCCAGCATCCGGTTGGATTCTTGATTCTCCGCCCGAGTCCCTGATTCCAAATCGGAGGTGAGAAATCCTGGACTCTGGGAGATTTCCCGAGGCCACAAAGGATTTGGTCAAACGCATACAGGGATTTTTCCAGCTTTAGATATGATTTAATTCAGTCTTTGCCCGCTCCGGGTCAATGAAGGGTACGGTGAGTTGGGGGAGCCAGGAACCTCCCCCCCGGGCCCCGACATCCCCACCCCATCCCGCTGCCCCCCCCCCCGTGACCGCCCCCCTAGGCGGGTCCTCTGCTCCGTTTCCCCCGACTCCAGGCAGCCCTGCGGGACTTGAGCGCAGGGGGCGAGGGGCGGGGAGCGGGGGGCGGGCGGAGGGAGGAACAATGGCCCCCTCCCCTCCCCTGACCGGCTGGAGGGTGGGGTCTCCCCGCCCCGCCTCCCCGCTCCTCCCCCGCCAAGGCGATGAGGTAATCGCGCCGCCGAGAGGCACGCGCAGCCGGTGCCCAGCCCGGTCGGTCCCCGCGCCCCTGCCCCGCCGGCCGCCGCCCCCCGCACCGGCCCGGCCCCGGCCGCCCGGCCCCACCATGACCGAGCGGTGCAGCCTGTGGAGCGCCCTATCGGCCGCCGCCTGCTGCTTCTACCGCGGCTCCTTCGTGCAGGTGCAGGTGAGGGGGCGGCTCGGCTCCCGCCAGGCGCTCCGGGCTGGGACCCCGGCCGCTCCGCCCCGGGCCCGGGGGCCGGGAGCCGCAGCCCGGTGGCGCCTCGCAGGGTCTGGCGGGGCAGGGGCTGCGGGAGGGGGCGGGGTCGCCCCAGCCTCACCTCTGGGCGCCCGGCCGCTCCGCAGGGTGAGGGTCCGGGCTGCCGCTCCCGGGACTCCGGGTCGCGGGGCTGCCGTTTCGGTCCTGCTTCCTCCAGCGGAGCTGGGGCACTGGGTCCCGGGGACTGCGGTCCCCGGCGTCCTGCAGGTACTCCGGCGAGCGCTCCGGCCCCTGCGGCTGACCCGGGCAGTCCGGCTCCCCATTGTACCGGGAGCGCAGGGCTGGGGTCCGAAGGCTGAGTGAGGGGCGGGAAACTGAAGGGGTGCTGCGGGTGCCGAGGCTAGGGCCAGAGCTCCCGCCACTCTCCCGCCCTCTAGGTGGGCTGGGGCAAGCTCGGGGCGCGGGGCTCCCAGCCCAGCCAGCCGGGCAGTGCGGGACGGCGCCGCGGCGGTGAAGGGGTTAAACGGAAGGGGGTGGAGGGGAGGACCCGGACCCCGCCTCTGCGGAGCATCATCTGGGATGGCCTTGCTAGGGGTTGCCAGACCGTAGGAAGCTGGACGGGGCTTGCTGGGCGCGGGCTGGGGGTTAGGGCTTAAGACCCGGACCGGGGGTCTCTGCGCTTTTGCCTCCGGAGCCCCCTGGGGGACGCCGGACGCGTCACCTCTGCGCTCCCCCGGGCTCACACACACGCTCCGATCCCGCCTGAATGACGGCCCCGCCGGCAGCGGAGCGCCGCATCCCCGCACCGGCCAATCAGGCGCGCGCAGGCAGGGAGGCGGTGAGATCATCTCTGGCCAATAGCGGTGCGCTAAGCGCAAGGATGCTGCATTCGCGCCCCAGTCCGCAACTCCCACCCACCCACCCCAGTCTTGGGAGCTGGGGACCCCCTGGTCGAGAGTGAGGAGGAGGGCACAGGACCCTAGGGTTCCCCACCCCCGGGTGTGTGGGAGGACCAAGTTGGTTCCCCCAGATTCTCCCTGTGACCATTGATTACGCTGGAAAAGTGGAGCCCAGTCTCCCCACCCCCTGCCCCGTTTACAGAGGAGGCTACCCAGGCTCAGAGAGGGCAAATGACTAGCTCAGTGTCACACAGTGGTAGGCAGAGTCTTGTGGCCAGGTTCTTTACCTCACAGCCCACTCCCCTTCTTTGCCCCATGTCTATCTTGCTCCAGCTGTGGAACCGGGGTGAGTTCTCAGTTACATGCTTTTTGTCAAGGAGAAGAACCCCAGAAGGCTGGGGTACTGGTGTTCTCTCTCCTGTGACTCCTAGTCTTCCCTCCCCAGGGTGTGGTGTGGTATAGGGAGGGAGGCCAAGGACCCCGAAGAATAAGGAACTCCATACAGAAGTGTAGGTATATGAGGACACCCCAATTTCAGTTCAGCCCTCAGCTTTCCCACCCTCGGGGGTATCAGTTTCTACCCTGGGTAGAGGGCATACAGAATCCCCATCCCCAGGACCTATCTTTTCCTAAGTACCTGTACCATCACTGACCTCCACCATCTGTCCCCAAAGTCCTACAGGCTCCTCAAAACCCCAATTTTCATGGGCCCATCACCAAGCTGCTCCTGCTCAGCTTTGCTCACCTCTGTGAGTGTCTCATTGTCCTCCCAGGATCTCCATCTGAAATCCTCTCTGACCCCTCCACCCCTCTTCCCAGTCCTGATCAATGGCTACTTAAACACCCTTTTCCTAGTCCCCACCCCCATGCCCCACCCTTCCCTGCCAGTGCCCGGAAAGCACTAAGCCACTCTCCATACATGAAAAACCCTCTGTGGCTCTGGTGTGGCCTCCGGGTAAACCCCAGCTCCCCACAGCAGCCTGACAGCCCTGCTCCACCTGCCCCCATCATCTCTGCCCCTCTGAAGCTTCCCCTCACCCCAGGACCTTGGCTCAGCCTGCAGGGCCCTGACTGCCACTCTCTGCCCAGAAACTCTTCCTGGCCCACCTGTTTGCCTGTCTGTCCCTGCCCTGATGCTTTTGCTGGGCTCATCCAGTCCTTCTGCAGGCCTCCATGGAAACATCACCTCTTCAGGGACTCGACTCCCTGACTAGATGAGGAGGTACCCTCTTAGCTGCTCCCAGAGCTATCTGTGCATCTCTGAACACTCAGAAAACTGGAATTGCTTGTCAGTGTCTGTGTAGCTCTCTCAGAGGTCACCTGTCCTGATGACCTTGGGGCCTCAGCCCCTGGCACAGGAGGCTTAATCATTGTTGAAATAATGAAGTCAGAGACTCTAGATATCACTGAAGCTGGGAATTAGGCTGTCTTGGGAGCAGTGTGGATTGGGGTAAACTGAGGCAGTGTGGGAGCAGAGGGGTGGGGAATGGAACTGCAAAGTTAGGCTCTGAGATCTTTGGAAGGCCTGAAAAGGCAGGGAATGGATTAGAGGACCCTTGGACCTTGGTGAGTAGGGGGTCCTGGAGAGAGACTGTCACCTGGACTGAAGCCAGGCCCTCCCGTGCCCCTTTCATCTGTCTTGCTGTCTGGCCAGTTCGGAGCCAGATCTACCTGTCCTAGAACAGCCATCTCTGGGCCCAGAATTGGGGAGTGGGAGAGGAAACAATGTCGCATGTCCTCACAGTGACGAGGACATCTATGGGCTAGTCACAGTACTCTGGAGTATTGTCTCCTTTTATCCTTGCAACCCAATGAGGCAGATTCTGTAATTATACCCATTTTTTTGAGGAGGAAACTGAGGCCCAGAGAACTCACAGGACACCGCCAGGATTGGACTGTGCTTTGTGGTGGGGCTGCACCTGGCAATAGGAACTCTCCTCCCTCTGCTCTTAGGTATCTAACCCTGGGCCATGGTAACCAGGAAACCAGGAATCTCCTCCTTGGGCAGGTGGAAGGGGGGGGGAGTCCTGGGCATTATCTTCATCGAGTGACCTTTGGCTTCCCTGCTTGGCCACAGTTCTGCCATCTGGCCAGGATTGCTTGAGAAGGCGAGGAGGAAAGGGCCTTGGGAATTGTAAAGGACAGCAGAAATGTCTGTGTGGGGGCCTCTGCTTCCCTGTTTATAGCTGCCTCCTCCACCCTTCCACTGTATAATTCAGCATCCCAGAATGTATCATCGTGCATCTAGCCTTATGTTTTTGTCCTTGCCTTTACCTGGGTACCTGCTGCCTTACCTCCCAGATCCACCTATAGAAATCCTGCCTCTCCCCAGTGCAAGATCAGTTTGATGTTTTTGGTGCAGAGGGAGTGTTTTGTTGTTACCATTTCCTCCAGGAAGGCTTCCTGGACCACTCTCCACTTCGCCTATACTTTATCTTCTCTCTTGTAAAAGCCACCCGGCTCCTTGCCGCTGTCCAGTACTGTGGTGCTGACCTTATTCTGCTCAAATGTTCCTGTTGCTTTTCCTTCCCCCGCCTGGACTACAAGCTTCCTTGAGGACAGGGCCTGGTTTGTTTATTGTCTCATTTACTCCTGGCGCATAGCACAGGGCCTGGAACACAGTAGGACTGAGATTTCCTTGCTGCTGCTAGGATGGGGCCTCAAGGGTGAGGACTTCTCTGGCACGTGTGCCTAAGTTTTCTCAGGGTCCCGGGATGGAAGCAGCTCACCTGGAGTAGGGAGGGGTTGGAGGAGAAGAAGAAAGAGGGCTTCAGACCAGATGCCAACTCTTTGCTGTCTCCTGCCCAGTTCTCCAAGGAGAAGTACATCCTGGACTCTTCCCCTGAGAAACTGCACAAGGAGTTGGAGGAGGAACTCAAACTCAGCAGCACAGATCTCCGCAGCCATGCCTGGTACCACGGCCGCATCCCCCGTGAGGTGAGTAGGCCCTAGGCGGGACCTCAGCCCTAGACGCCCAGAGAGGCTGTGACCTGCTGCTTGGTGGATTCAGTCCGAGAGGACTGCAGTGAGGTCTAACTCTGTCATTTACTGACTGTGTGACCTTGCACAAGTCACTTCACCTCTCTGAGCCTTGGTTTCTTCTTCTATGAGATGGATGGTAATGATAGTACCTGCCTTCAAGGGTTATTGTGAGAATAAATGAAACAATGCACATAAAGTGCTTAACTTGATGTCTGACAGTGGGCTCAATGTTATTATTAGTGTTGTTATTGCTATTATTATTACTATTACTTTTAACTTTTTTTTTTTTTCCATGGGTCTATACATTAGCCTCTTGTGTGTTTGGTAAGTGTCAGGGCCTAGGATTCTCAGTTTTGGCAAAGTTGAGTTTCTGTGCTGAGGCCCAGATGGGCTGATAGTCACCTGTTCTCTCTTTCTGTTCCCTCTTTCATTCATTCTGTGGATCTTTGTCAAGCACCATGAATGCAGAGAGAAAGTGGATGGTGGCTTCCCCTGAGGGCTGGTAGTCCAGTCAGAGCCCCGTGGAAGAAGTGCAGGAATGGAGCACCCAGCAGGGAATGCGGGCTGGCCCTGAGGAGGGGGAACTGAAGACAGAGGCCAGTGAGAGATGGACAGGAGTTCACCAAGTGGGCAGCATGGGAAGGATGTCCAGGAAGAGAGAGCAGCCTGAGGGTACAAAGGCCCAGAGATCTGGGAGAGCACTGGGTGCTTGGAGGAATGAGGATTGGGAATGCACCCTGAGAAGGAGCAGGTCTGAGACCTGAGTTTTAGGTCACAGCAAACCCCAGCTCCCCAGGCTCTGTGTCCCTGTGACTTACGTTCCAGGGTGTCATGTCTTCCCATTCCTGAGCCTCTGTGCACCAGACCCAGGGTCCGTGGCTGAGTTGCCCACTCTGAATCTGGGTCACTGCATCACCCTTCCTAAGCTGTAGATATCTCTGTTCCCCATGTCCCCCAGATCCTGGGTCTGACCCTGCCCTGGCCCTGCTCCAGCCTGATCACTGCCTCCTGCAGGTATCAGAGACCCTGGTGCAGCGCAACGGCGACTTCCTCATCCGGGACTCTCTCACCAGCCTGGGTGACTATGTGCTCACCTGCCGCTGGCAGAACCAGGCCTTGCACTTCAAAATCAACAAGGTGGTGGTGAAGGCCGGGGAGAGCTACACACACATCCAGTACCTATTCGAGCAGGAGAGCTTCGACCACGTGCCCGCCCTTGTGCGGTACCATGTGGGCAGCCGCAAGGCAGTGTCGGAGCAGAGCGGGGCCATCATCTACTGCCCTGTCAACCGCACCTTCCCGCTGCGCTACCTGGAGGCTTGCTATGGCCTGGGCCAGACCAGCGGCAAGGCTGCTGGCCCTGCCAGCCCCTCGGGCCCCAAGGGCAGCCACATGAAGCGGCGCAGCGTCACCATGACCGACGGGCTCACCGCCGACAAGGTCACCCGCAGCGATGGCTGCCCCACCAGGTAAGGAAGGACCCCACGCTAGGCCTCGGTCTCCTCGTTTGGCAAGTGGGGGTATCCGTCATCAGAGTGCTGGTGAGGAGCGGGAGGCCCAGGCATTCTGAACTGGGTGGAATAACTGTCCTGGAGCCTCAGTGTGCAGCGAGGAAGAGGAGGACGCGGGGCTGAGTGCAGGGTTTGCAGGCAGGTGATAGCCTCAGGTCAGCTACGACTAGCTGAGCTCCCTGGGCCCTGCCGCTCTCCTCTCATGACCATGTTCCTACCCATAAAGCGCCCTCCCTCAGATAGCCGCCCCCAGCCTACGGGATCCGTGGGTGCTGCCCTGTCCCTGTGGCCGCTGCTCCCCCTCCCCACCCACCTAGCGAGGCCGAGGCGGGCATCAGAACAGAGGGCTTTGCAATATGCAAACCACTGCATAGGGGATGGGACGTTCCAGCCACACTTTAATGACCCCCAGTTGCTTCTGGCCCTGGGTGGGACAAGACCAGGACAAGCCGCAGAAGGGACTCATTTCTGAGGCCCTAGTGTGCACCCGGCCCTGTGCAGAGGGCTGTCTGCGCCCAAGCTCATCAACTCCCATGTCCTCCTGGGAGGTGACTCCTGGGCACACCCCCACTTTACAGATGAGGGAATAGGATGAGAGAGGGGAAGCCGCTTGCTGGAGAGTGGGAGGACTGAGATTCAAACCCAGGTCTGCAATTCCAAAGTCTGTACCCCTCATTTCTGTGGCCTCCCTGGTTGTTTGCAGAGACCCGCCATCCTGTGCCACCAGCACTTGGGTAGATCCCATCTCCCTAGGCCTGGGCTGGGTGCTGTCAGCCAAGGAACTGCTGGTTGGATTCTCTGTGGGCAGTGGCCACTTTGCCTGAGGCTTAGAACCAGTGCCCATAATGGTGCCAGGACCTGGCATTCTGAGCATAGCGTAGGAGCAGTGAGGAGGTGCCAGTCTAGTGGGCCTGGTTCCCACAGGCTCCCCATCCTTTCTGCTAGGCCTGCTTCCCAGGCAGTTACTCTAAGTTGGAGGCAGGGTTCTCAGGGAAGAGAGCAGTTGTGCGGGTGGTGGACTGTACGAACACTCCCCTCTCTGGGCTTCAGTCTTACACTTGCCAATTAGTACTACGCTCTCCAAGCCTTTTCTGCCTCTGAAGTTCAGTCAACCTAGGATGGAGGCAGAGGTGGGGGTCCTAAGGCCAGCTGAGGACCCTGCCCTCTGGGCTCTCTGCTCATGAAGGTATCTGCTCCACAGCACCTCACTGCCTCACCCCCGGGAATCTATCCGCAACTGTGCCCTCAGCATGGACCAGATCCCAGACCTGCACTCGCCCATGACACCCATCTCTGAGAGTCCCAGCTCCCCTGCCTACGGTACTGGTATGGCCAGCAGAGGGGGAGGGGCGGGGCGGGGAATCTGGTGGGAGTGACCTTGTGTGTGCACACACGCTCTGTTTGTCTTTAATGACTTCTGTTACAGTGTGTGATTGTATGTGTTTCTACCTCTTTACTGAGAGTGATGCCCTGCAAGAATTTACACTAAAAACCAGCCAGTGGCACCACTGATACTGTCTCCACAGGTTGTCACACATTCTTCCCTAAACACAGGCCCACCAACTTGTCCTAACTACAAACTTGCCTTCGAACCAACTCCCCCGAGTGTCAGAGTCAAAATTCCTTGCCCCAAATGATTTATCGGGCAGTCTCTGAACAACATGGCAGAGTGAAGTATCCAGGACTGAGGATTTCAAGCCCAGCTCTCTCACGTGGGGCAGTTGACCCCTCTGACCCTCAGTTTTCTCCTGGTAGAATGAGGATCGTGGAAGTACTTACTTCCCAGGATGTTAGGGTTAAGTGGGCTAAGGTACAAAGAAGGGTCTCGCAGGCAGGAAGAGCTCAATATACATCAGCTCTCATTTTGGATGATGGTTTCACTGTTGTTGACCAGTGTATGGCCAGCAAGTCGCCAGCTCCTAGCACATGAGTACTCAATAAATCATTGCTAACTCACTGAGAAATAATTCCACACAATGAACTCCAGCAAGTGCTTATTAGCATCCCTGAATCACGGCAAGCTCCTCTATGTAGTTCAGTGGTTCCCCAAGGCTGCAGCAGCCTTAGGGTAGGAGAGAGCAAACTCCTGGGGTCCAGGCAATTTGAGAGTATCCTTGAGGCCTGGTCAGTTTACCCGAGGCTGCTGGGCCTGGCCTGTGTGCAGGGAGGTGGGGACTTCACTCCTTTGGGAAGAGGGTGGGAGAACTTCACTGGGTGGGGAGCTCTGGTAACTAGTCCTCTCCCTTTCTCTCCCTGCAGTGACCCGTGTCCACGCCACCCCTGCAGCTCCCTCAGCCACAGCGCTGCCTGCCTCCCCTGTCACCCGCCGCTCCAGTGAACCCCAGCTGTGTCCCGGAAGTGCCCCAAAGCCCCCTGGGGAGTCGGACAAGGGCCCTTATGCCAGCCCCTCCCACACGCTCTGCAAGGCCTCCCCATCACCATCGCTCAGCAGCTACAGTGACCCGGACTCTGGCCATTACTGCCAGCTCCAGCCTCCTGTCCGGGGCAGCCGAGAGTGGGCAGCCGGTGAGGCCTCCAGCCGGCAGGCCAGGAGCTATGGGGAGAGGCTAAAGGAACTGTCAGAGAATGGGACACCTGAGGGGGACCGGGGCAGGGCCTTCATAGCCCCCATTGTGGAAGCCACATCTTCCTTCAACCCAGCCACCTTCCAGTCACTACTGATCCCCAAGGATAACCGGCCGCTGGAGGTGGGCCTCCTGCGCAAGGTCAAGGAGCTGCTAGCAGAGGTGGATGCCCGGACGCTGGCTCGGCACGTCACCAAGGTTGACTGCCTGGTAGGTGCTGGGTGAGCACTGGGCCAGGGAGAGCACCTCTGTCCTGTGGCTTTGGGACAGGGGTCTGGGTGGTGAGAAGTTGGCCTCTAAATTCCCCAAGTATAGTGAGTGGGCCTGGATTCTGGCTTCATAGCTGTCCCTCACTTGCTGTGTGACTCTGGGCTGATCACTTTACCTCTCTGGGCCTCCATTTTCTCCTAAAAATGGCAACAACAACACAAGATATCCTTGCTTCCTCCAGTTTGGCATTGGAACTGGGCGGTGCTGAAAGCCAGAGCTCCCTGGGGCACTTTTTGAGCCTGATGAGAGTCCGCCTGGCTGGTTCAGGGAATGTTAAAACCGAGACTACCTGCCCCCATCCCCCCCTAGTGGACAAAATGAACAAAACTCATAACCTAGACTCCTAAATTGTCAATGCCTGGGCCTTTGAATGAATCTTGACTATCTAAGGACCCAGACTCTCTCTGCCCCTCAATTTCTCCCTCTGAAGTTTGGGGGGCACTGATTACTTTATGTGGGGGCCACACTGGCCTCTCAGCTCAGGAAGCAAGAAAAGAGTGCAAAGATACTGCCCTGTGGAGAGTGCTAGGCATGAAGGGAGCAGTTCTGGGTTCTAGGCCCAGTGTGTGATTTTGGACAAGTCCTTTCCCTCCCTGGAACTCAGGTTTGCCTTCTGGAATAAAGGTGTCCTGGTCACCTTTGGCACATATCAAACACCACTGGGCATTTTCCCATTTATCCCTCATTTCACGGAACTGAGGAGGAAATGAGGTTCATTTGCTCCATGGCAGAGGGTGAGAGCTGAAATTCAAACTCGTCATCCCAGCCAGGCTGCCCTCCTAGATAAAGCTCTCTGACTCCCAGATGGCTTGGGCCAACCGCGACAGGAAATTAATCAGCCCTCTGGGCGTCCTTGCAGGTTGCTAGGATACTGGGCGTTACCAAGGAGATGCAGACCCTAATGGGAGTCCGCTGGGGCATGGAGCTGCTCACCCTCCCCCATGGCCGGCAGCTACGACTAGACCTTCTGGAAAGGTAAGGCAAGCACCTGCACCCGGGGCCTCGCGGGGGATCCCCCGGGCTACCTCGCTGCCCTTTTGCTGTGGCCGGTTGGCCAATCAGAGTCTCTCAGCCCGGCTCCCATGGGTTCTGGCTACGCCCTCTATCCATTGACGAATCGCAACTGCTCCGTATCAAGCTCCAAGCAATCCTAGTTTCCCCAAAGCCTGAGTCTATCCCCGGATTCATCTTTTGCACCCTCTTGACCAATCACACTCCGCGAGGCTTAGCCCTGCCCATCAGCTCTGGCTACTCTTCTTTCTTAAAACTGTTCCGCCGCGTGAATTCCACTGATCGATCACAAGCCCCTCCCTCAGCCCGGCGCTCAGAAGCCTCTGGCCCCGCCCCTGATTTACACTGACCAATCAGAAGCCCTTAGCCTTGCTTTTTCCCCTCACTCTGGCCGCGCCCCCTAATTTCATTGACCCTTTCCAACCTGTCGCTTTGGGCTCGGCCCTCCGCCCCTCGGCGCCCAACCACAAGCGGTGGCAGGACCCCTCCCCTCTGACCTGGCCGCTGTGACAGGTTCCACACCATGTCCATCATGCTGGCCGTGGACATCCTGGGCTGCACGGGCTCCGCGGAGGAGCGGGCAGCGCTTCTGCACAAGACCATCCAGCTGGCGGCTGAACTTCGGGGGACGATGGGCAACATGTTCAGCTTCGCTGCGGTCATGGGCGCCCTGGATATGGCCCAGGTACGGAGGGGCGCGTCTCGAGCTGGGCTTCAGGAAGTCGCCGTCTGGAGGGAGCCCTGGGACACGTTCGAATAGGGAAGAACGTGGTGACTTTTAGGCAGCATTGGTGAAAGGGTAACTGTTGAGAACTGAGGTCTCTAAGTGGTGACCTGCTCCAAGACCAAGGCTTGTCCCTTCTTTGGGACTCAGTTTACCCACCTGCAAAATGAGTGAGGAGCATTATATGAGTTTCAAGAATAAATATAAAATGGCTATAATTTAGCGAGCACTTAATACATGCTAGGTGGTACACTAAGTACTTTATAAGCATTGATTCCTCAGAACAATCTTGTGAAGTGCCTTTGTTGTCCCATTTTACTTATGAAAAATTGAGGCACAGCAGTACTTGCCTAAGGTCACACAGTCAGAGACTGAAAAAGTCTGTTGCCAAGCCTGACCTTCCTCCGGACTCTACACTTGCTCTCCTATGCCTAGTCAATAGTAACAACAGGGTCCCAGAGGACGTGGCTCAACTCCCAGCTCTGCTACCTAATTTTGGAATGACCTTGGGCAAGTCATTGCCCTAGCTGAGCCTTAGTTCCCTCATCTGTAAAATGAGCTGTTGCAAGGCCTCCCAGGAGAATGCGAAGAGCAGCCAGCACTGTCCCTGGTACATGAAAGGTGACCATGATATAATAATTATTATCCCTGGTTGTCCAGGGATAACATCTGGTTGTCCACTCAGCAGGGTGGCTTGTGGCCTGTGCAGGCCCCTTCCCTGGCTGAGCGCTCACAGTCTGCTCTCCCCAGATTGCCCGGCTGGAGCAGACATGGGTGACCCTTCGGCAGCGACACACGGAGGGTGCCATCCTCTATGAGAAGAAGCTCAAGCCATTTCTCAAGAGCCTCAACGAGGGCAAAGGTACCCCCCACACCTTGCTGTGTCACCTTGGACAGGCTCCAGCCCCGCTCTGGGCCGGCAAAGACTCTCCCAGTGTGGACAATGACCAGAGCTTGACTGAGGTCTGCACAGGCTAATCTTGTGCTCACTTTCTGCACCTGGCAACCGTGTGAGCCTCGGCCAGGACCAGGCTCAGCCCTTGGGGCTGCGGCAAGGCAGCATTGGGTTCAGCTGGAGGATTCCAAAAGGAGGGGGGCTAGTCTTGGGAGTCGGGAGCCCTGGGGGGCTCAGTCAGGGACCTCGGGCAGACCCACCTCCGCCTCACCTGTCTGCCGGGAGCGCCTCACCTGTCTGCTGGGAGCGCCGTGGATGGTGGGGCCTCCAAGGTCTCTAAGCGCCTGCCTCTCTCCCTGCAGAAGGCCCACCGCTGAGCAACACTACGTTTCCGCATGTGCTGCCACTCATCACTCTGCTGGAGTGTGACTCGGCCCCGGCAGAGGGCCCTGAGCCCTGGGGCAGCACCGAGCACGGTGTGGAGGTGGTGCTGGCCCACCTGGAGGCTGCCCGCACGGTGGCCCACCACGGAGGCCTGTATCACACCAACGCAGAGGTCAAGCTGCAGGGTGAGTCACGGGTCTCATCTGGGGGGCGAGATGGTCACTGGTCACGCTGGCCGGCCCTCCCTCCACCGGCTTTGCTCTCCCCTTTCCTCCAAACCTCCATTCGTGTTTCTCCGTTCCTCTGTCCGGCCCCGCACCCTGACTCCCTTTCCTTATCCCTGTTTTTCACTCACTTATCAGTTCAACTGTGAGTGGAAGGCGCTGGGTAGGGGTGGAGGGACACAGACATGATACAAAGAGTACCCTAGGCTTTCTTTGAGCCTCTGTTTTCTCATCTGTGAAGTGGACGTCTTAACGGGATTACTTTACAATGTTGTTTGCGAAGCACTTGGCCTGGGGCTGAGACACACCTGTCCTGCCTTCAAGGAGCTCCCAGTCTAGGGGAAACGGAGATCTCCCTCGTGAAAAGGGCAGAGAGGAAGTAGCTTCAAACCATCCAGCTTTTACTGCTTTAGGCATTATTTAAGTCATGAAAGTTCACTGTAGGCAAATTGGAAATTACAGCTGAGCAAAAAGAAAAAACAAAATCACCCACAACCACCCAGAGGCACATGAGGAGAACATCCTGGTGTTTGTCTTTCCTCCTTTTTCTTTTCCAGAGAGAACAACAAAATTTTACTTAAAACACTTACTTGCAAAATGTATATGTTTCTTAGGAAGAAGTTTAGAACTTACAGAAAAATACAAAAAAGAAAAGAAAAATCCCTCCAATTGATATTCATATTTTATCTTCAGTAATTTAAATATTATATGTTGCAAACATGGTTCATTGACAAACCTTGTTGGAATCCTGGTGGAGCTGGTGGGGGGCAGGCCCTTAGGAACAGGGCCCTGAGGGAGGTATTGGCTTTAGGCAGGACCCCCAGCCTTCCTAGCTGGATGGTCATCCCCTGACCCCTGTGCCCTGCCTTGCAGGGTTCCAGGCCCGGCCAGAGCTCCTGGAGGTGTTCAGCACCGAGTTCCAGATGCGCCTTCTCTGGGGCAGCCAGGGCGCCAGCAGCAACCAGGCCCGGCGCTATGAGAAGTTTGACAAGGTCCTCACTGCCCTGTCCCACAAACTGGAACCTGCTGTCCGCTCCAGCGAACTGTGACCCCCGCGGACCCCTCCCCTCTGCAGCTGCGGGCAGCAACAGGGACAGAGGGGCACAGACCTCTCCCCAGAGCACCCCAGAGACACTGTGATCAGCCCGAGAATGTTCTGGGCCCAAACCAGGATCTCCCTTGCACCTCCAGGTCCTGCATGGACCCTGGGCTCTATCCCACCTGTTACGTGCCCACCAAGTCTCCCTTCAGGAAGAACCGGAATCCTGTTCCTCCTCCAGCTTCTGCTTCTCCCCTTCCTGCTGAGGTGCCCTGTGTTCGAGCCATGGGAGGGTCCTCACGCCTCCTCACTCTTCTTCGGGCATCTGCCCACAACGGACACCAAGGCCTCCACCTGGTTGTAAATATGTGTGTCTGTTCTGTAAATAGATGTATAGAAGCCATGTTCTTTCTTTCATATAATAAACTTTTATGACTCTTTCTTCTGTCTCTCATGGGGCCCTGGTGGAAGGAAGTCTTTTCTCTCAGGTGAAAGGTGGAAAAATTCAACGGCAAATACTTATTTAGCACTTGGGACATTCCAGATTCTACCAGGAGCCACTGTTAGAGCCAATACTAAAACCCAGTACCAGTCCTGGAGGAGCTCACAGACCAGTGGGGGAAAGAAACAGCTAATTCCAACTAGGGGGAGAAATCCTGGCCAGCCCCTACTCCCACCCCGTTTCCTGCTTGGGGAAGCCCAGCAAAGATTCCCACAAATGCACAACCAAGCATTCCAGATGTTTGGAGTGGAAGGGCTTGTTGAAATTTAGGATTCCTACTCTCCCCTGGAAAACGGAACTGGAGGGAGAAGGGACTCTCCTGGGGTCACAGCAGCAGAATAAGGGAGGCTGGAACCTGGGTGTCCTGACCTGGAGTTCTTTCCTTTTCTCAACAGAGGGAACTACTTATTTCTTTTCAGGGTCCCAGAAAGCTTCGTGTGAGCATGTGTGTGTGTGTGTGCGTATGCACGCGCAGGGTGGGTGGGTCAGGGAATCTCTAAGAAGGGCCATGAATGCAGTTGTCTTGATTCCAAGGGGAGGGGAGGTAGGCAATGTGGATAAACACGATTCCTATCCAGGCTGGAGGCCTGGGGAGCCTGTTCACTGAATATGAAACGTCTTGGGTCCTTTGCCTTCTGAATCCTTTGACCAAGAGAGGCTGGATAACAGTGCATTAGATCTTTGGCAGCAGCTTGACTTGGGTTCAGTTCTATTATTTATGAGCCTTGGACAGAGGCTTAACCCCTTGGGTCCCAATTTCGTCCTCAACAAAATAAGGACAATAACAAAATCGATTCCTTAGGATTGATGTTAAAGCACTTAGGGCAGAGTAGCTCCTCGGTAGGGGACTGCCATGTTTCATACATAATGGATTGCCAATAATCATTTATTGATTATTTTCTGAGTCAAAACACTTTATGTTCCTGTACCTCATTGAAATATCACTGTTTCTCTGTATGGCAGGTACTGTTATCGTAAGACATATAAGGCACCTAACTCTAATGGCACCCAGTAAGTGCTTACCAAAAGCTCTATTACTGAGCGCTCTTTTGTCATATAAAAAAAGAGCATGGAAAAGGAGCTTTGCAAGGCTTAAGGTGCCGCACAAGTTTTTGCTACAATTGTTACGTCACCCTTTGTGGTCATAATCCTTTATTATTCTTTCGGCGCTATTACGGTCTCCTAGTTACCGTGGCCACGGAAACGCGGCCCGCCGTCCTGGATTGGGACGGTTCGCGGGCTCCCCCTAGAGGCTACCTTCCGGTCCTGCTGCGGGACGACGGCTCGGGCCTTTCCGGGGGGAGCCGGGAGTTGTAGGCTACGGAAGGTGGCTGCCGCCCAGAGAGGCACGCCGGGAATTGTGGTCCCAGGGAGGGGCGGTTGGCCCAGACCCGGCTCCCGTCTCACCCGCATGGCGGCTGCGACTCGCGGCTGCCGGCCCTGGGGCTCGCTCCTCGGGTTGCTGGGGCTGGTCTCGGCCGCGGCCGCCGCCTGGGACCTGACTTCGCTGCGTTGCCACCTCGGCACCTTCTGCGAATGTGACTTCCAGCCCGACTTTCAGGGTGAGGAGCCGCAGGAGCCCGGAGTGCAAGGGGCCCGCGGACCGGGGAGCTCTCGGACTCTGGGGTTGCCCCCGGGCCACACCTGAAGGGTAGAACCGAGGGGCGGGACCCGCAGACTTCCGGGTGGCCCAGGCCGCAAGTGGGCCCGGTGTTGAGGGACTGAGAGTCTCGAGTACTGGACTTGGGGCAAGGGTTTGGGGAAGCATGTTTGGGAGTCCAGGCAGAGCCCTGCCAGGATGGAGAGAGGCATTTGACAGCAGGGCCTTGGGGGGACGATTGGGCCTCCACAGTGGACTGGCCATCAGGGGAGAAGCCTGCCTTGGGAATGGGCAGGAAATCTTGGGCCAAACCTGTTGGCAGCTCACAGCCACTTAGAGCTGAGCGCAATGCAGAGGGCCAGCTGGTGGGGGCGCTGCCGAGCCAAGTCAGGTGTGAGGGTGGCTGCGGCTGCCGGAGTCCCCAAGGGCCCCACTCCCTTTCCAAAGACAGTTTGTAAAACTGTCCAAGACACAGGGATCCCTAGACCAGGTTCCAGACATGCCTCTTCCCCACCCCCTTCTGTGGCAAGCGTGTCTCTTCAGCTCTGATACTGTCCTTGTGGCCCTAGGTCTGGAGTGTGACCTGGCCCAGCACCTGGCCGGCCAGCACTTGGCCAAGGCATTGGTGGTGAAGGCACTGAAGGCCTTTGTGCAGGACCCAGCCCCCACCAAGCCACTGGTCCTCTCCCTACATGGCTGGACAGGCACTGGCAAGTCCTACGTTAGCTCCCTTCTGGCGCACTATCTCTTCCGGGGTGGCCTCCGCAGCCCCCATGTTCACCACTTTTCCCCCGTCATCCACTTCCCCCACGCCAGCCACATGGAGCGCTACAAGGTAGGCTGGTGGCATCCTGGACCACCATTCACCTGCATGTTGGGGTGCCAGACCCTAGGGAATGAATGAGTCCTGAGTCCGGGGGTGGGGGGTGTCACTCGCTCCAGGCCGCACAGCCAGTTGGAGCCTCAGCCCTCAGGACCCATCATGAACAGAGCTTGAGATGGACAAGGGACGTGGGATTGTATAGTTGCAGGTATTATGTATTGAGCACTTACCTTTGCCAGCCTTGCGTTACCTTCTTTTTGTAAAGCATGGTCCCAATTTGAGGCTCAGAATAAGCATTTAGTAAATAGTAGCTCTTACTACTATCGTTGTTGTCGATTGCAGGGTCCTCTCTAGGCTGGTCTGTTTCAGCTGTCAACATTATTGAGAAGGTTCAGGGAGCAGAAGGGAACCTTCCTCTTTTATGGAAAGTAGGGGCTATCAGAGAAGGAGTCCTGAACAAGGCAGATATGAGGCCTGGGTTTGAGTCTCTGTGCGCTTGCTGACTTGCTGTGTGTGTGAGCTTGAACAAGTCTCTGACCCCTTGGGGCCACAGTTTTGTCACCAGCCCCAGGAAAGGATTAGTTCTTGCCTTCAGAAGAAGTCTGATGTGAGAGGAGTATCTCCAGGTGCCTTCAAACTCCTGCCTCTCCCCGCAGAAAGATCTTAAGAGCTGGGTCCAGGGAAACCTCACAGCCTGCAGCCGCTCCCTCTTCCTCTTTGACGAGATGGACAAGCTGGCCCCAGGCCTGATGGAGGTCCTGGTACCTTTCCTGGGCTCCTCCTGGGTTGTGTTTGGGACCAACTATCGCAAAGCCATCTTCATCTTCATCAGGTGGGCCCATCTTTGCAGCAGCATGGTGCGGGGACATTTGTCCAATGTCTCAGCTATCCAGTCTTGGCCTGTGGTCCCACACCAGAATACCTTTCCCCCCGGGGCCCAGTTGGGCTTTCCCAAAGCCCCTCACACTGGCTGTGACACTGTTACTCAAATTTTGACATTCTCAAAGCCCATTCTGGGCTCAGTCTTTGGGATCCTCACTGTTTCTTTGTGGAACGATTTTTCCCTCTTTTGGGGCCAGGAGGACACAGACCTGGGAAAAATAGGACTAGAATTCTAGTCGCACCTCTAAGAGTTCTAGCTGTATTTCCTTGGGCAAATCACTTCACCTCTCTGAACTCCCATCCCTCTTCTGCACAGCAGGGCCAATATTAATGCCCCACTGTCCTCCTAGAGGCTCGGGGAGGGAAAGTCAGTTAAGGGACCCAAAAGTGTTTTGTAAACTTTAAAGTGCACGGCACCTATAAGTGAATTTCCAGGCATCATGGTTGGAGACACAGGCTCTGGAGAGGGGAAGTAGTTCCTATTGTGTATTTTCAGTGGGTTTGGCTCCTGCTGCTACTGAGCAGGGTGCCCAGGCTCAGGTTGTGTTGTGTGGCACATGGGAAGCAAGGGCCAAATCCCGCCCCCCACGGTCTGAGCCGTGGCCCGCTTTCCCCATGGTTTCAGCAACACCGGTGGCGAGCAGATCAACCAGGTGGCCCTGGAGGCGTGGCGTGGCCGCCGGGAACGGGAGGAGATCCGCCTGCAGGAGCTGGAGCCTGTCATCTCCCAGGCTGTGCTGGACAACCCGCACCGTGAGTTCAGCGTGGGAGGCCTCCCCGCCCGGGGTAACTTCAGCAGGCCGAGGCTTCACACCCACAACCACTGGGCTGGGCCAGGTTCTCCCCGGGTCTGATGCGCGGCCCACTGACCCGGTACTTCTCAGCCCAGGCTTTGGCGCTCCTGGCTGTCATGCAACCTCCCTGAGCCCACCACAGACCCTTCCCATATTGCCTCTTCCTGCAGATGGCTTCTGGCGCTCAGGCATCATGGAAGAGCATCTCCTAGACGTGCTGGTGCCCTTCCTACCACTTCAGCGGCACCACGTGTGGCACTGCGTGCTCAACGAGCTGGCCCAGCTGGGCCTGGAGCCGAGGGAGGAGGTCCTCCAGGCTGTGCTGGATAGCACCACCTTCTTCCCTGAGGAAGAACAGCTCTTTTCCTCCAACGGATGCAAGACTGTGGCCTCCAGAATTGCTTTTGTCCTCTGACTCTCCAGATGGCGTCCTTGCCCTCTTCTCCCTGGCCAGGCTGTGCAGGAAAGCCCTGGGGCCCCTGCAGTAGGACCCCTTTTCCTGAGCCTCCTGGAGAGCGAGACCCAGAGCCCAAAGTGAAGATGAGGAGGCATGCTGGCTAGGCGATAGGACAGAGGGCCCTGGCCTCTTAACTGGTCTGAGGGCCTCTTGACCTTTGCTTCCTTCCCTGGAGAAACCACTGGTGACCCCAGAACTTCAATGAGCCTTGCCCTTGCCCTCCAGCCTAAGCCTTCTTAAAATGTGAATTGTAACTCAGGGACTGTGGCTCATGGCTGCTCTCTCCCTCTTCGGTCGGTTACTCTTGGCCCCTTGCTCTGGCACCGTACTCTGAAGCCTCCATCCCACACCCCGTGTCCTGTACTGTAAAGCTGGGCTGAGACTTCTCAGTCTTCATGAACAGAGGGACTCAAGCTGCCACTTAGGCCTGGTTTTTAAAGTTTTTAATTTTATAAGAGAACAAATACAATAAACTTAGCCATGGGACCAGAAGAATGTTGGCTGAGGTATCTAATTGCTCTGGAAGGAGGCTGTTTTGCTGGGTGCCAGTGAGTGTGTGTGGGGGTTAGAATCTCTTCCATACCCAGCAAGAAGTGAGGGGGCTGAATGGCCCCCTTCAAGGAGCAGTGTAACTGCTGGGCCAGCCTTGATTTTTCTGGGGTTCTGGTCAGGCCCTAGGTGGTCTGGGGTTTTCTGAGATTTGGGCTCAGTCCCTAGGTGACCTCAGTCTTGCTGGAACCTGAGCTTATGTTCTGGCTCCAGCTCTGGGCAGCCGTGGTCTTGCTGGACCTTTGGCATTGGTCCTGAGTGGCCTCAGTGTTGCTGGGGCTCCAACTTGGATCATAGAAATCCTTGGTCTTGCTAGAACTTCGGATCAGTCCCCCGCTCCGGCCATGGGTGGCAGCCTTACTGGGTTCCCAACTCCGGCAATGGGCAGCCTTGATCTTTCTAAGCCTCTTCCTTGGGCCCTGAGTGGCCTTGGTCTTGTTAGGCTTTTGTCTTGGGCCTTGGGTAGCCTCAGTCTGGCTGGGCCTCCAGCTCTGGCCCTGGGTGGCCTCAGTCTGGCTGGAACTCTGGCTCTGGCCCTGGGCAGCCTCCATCCTGCTGGGCCTCCAGCTCTGGCCCTGGGTGGCCTCAGTCTGGCTGGAACTCTGGCTCTGGCCCTGGGCAGCCTCCATCCTGCTGGGCCTCCAGCTCTGGCCCTGGGTGGCCTCAGTCTGGCTGGAACTCTGGCTCTGGCCCTGGGCAGCCTTCATCTTGCTTGGCCTCCAGCTCTGGCCCTGGGCGGCCTCCGTCCTGCTGGGCCTCCAGCTCTGGCCCTGGGCAGCCTTTGTCCTGCTGGGCCTCCGGCTCTGGCCCTGGGCGGCCTCCGTCCTGCTGGGCCTCCGGCTCTGGCCCTGGGCGGCCTCCATCCTGCTGGGCCTCCGGCTCTGGCCCTGGGCAGCCTCCATCCTGCTGGGCCTCCGGCTCTGGCCCTGGGCGGCCTCCGTCCTGCTGGGCCTCCGGCTCTGGCCCTGGGTGGCCTCAACCTTGCTGGGCCTCCGGCTCTGGCCCTGGGTGATCTTGGTCCTGCTGGGCCTCCGGCTATGGCCCTGGGCAGCCTCCACCTTGCTGGGCCTCCGGCTCTGGCCCTGGGTGGCTTTGGTCCGGCTGGGGCTCTGGCTCTGGCCCTGGACGGCCTCTGTCCTGCTGGGCCTCCGGCTCTGGCCCTGGACGGCCTCTGTCCTGCTGGGCCTCCGGCTCTGGCCCTGGGTGGCCTTGGTCCTGCTGGGCCTCCGGCTCTGGCCCTGGGTGGCTTTGGTCCTGCTGGGGCTCTGGCTCTGGCCCTGGGTGGCCTTGGTTTTTCTGGGGCTGTGGCTCAAGCTTAGGTGTTCTCTGTTCTCCAGCAGGTCTGAGGATTGAGTCTTCAGCAGTGGGGAGTCAGAGGATGTCACAGCAGTGGCTGAGGTGCTCTTGTATTCCTGGCAGATAGTGGACGTCTCTGTCTCTGAGGTGGACATGGTCCTGACTGGGAAGGATGAACCAAGAGCATCCGTTAGGCTGCTCTGCTCAGACAGCTCCAGGAGAAGGAGGTGTAGGCCTCACCCTTGCCTCTATTCCAGAGGCCTTGCCCGGCCAAGGGGAAGGTCTGCCAGATGACGCCAGCCCAGCGCTCCTCGGCAACCTGAGCCCTGCAAGTGGGCCCGGGCTGTGGGATAAATGGGAGACACTGAGGGCTCACCATGCCCCGTTCAAAGTGAGGATTCTTCCTCCTGCTCTACAATCACAGAACTAGAAGTAGCAGAGCCCAAATGCACATGCAGGCCAAGGAGTCTCTGACCCCTGACTTCTGCCTAATCTGCTGCTTTGGCTTACTCAGGCCTAGCGAGAGTATTGGGGACTTACAGCCAAAGACGGAGCCTGAAGAGGTCTGGTCGAGGTAGCTGTCGGACAGGGACCTCATCCTGTTGGGTGCAGGCTCCCACTGCTCCTCCTAGGGCAGAAGACAGGTGGGGCCGTTGCAGGCCATGGGAGGCCCTGGGCCAGCGGCTCAGCTCTGGAAGGAAGGCCAGCAGCTCAGAGCTCCTCAGGGGGCCCAGCTGGGGCTGGGCAGCACGAGAGGTGAAGACTGGACAGGAAGGGGAGTGGTCGGACTCGACCGGCAGGGCACTGTGATAAATTTCGACAGTGTTCAAGAGGCTGCTTGGGCCTCAGGTCTGCCGTCTGCAAAATGCAAATTAGTTTCAATGTGGGACAGTCCTCTGTAAACTGTAAAGTGCTGTACCCTGGGGAATGGCTAGTGAAGAACTGAGCTTTTTATGCTTACCATTCTATCCCATTTCGTCCTCCCACATATCTGGGAGGGAACTACCATTTTTACCATTTCACGGACCAGAAACCAAGGTTCCAGGAGCCTAAGCAGCCTGCCCTCGACACAGCAAAGAAGCAGAGGAGCAGAGTTGAATCCAGGCCTGCGGGACTCCACAGCCCAGCTCTTAGCTGCTGGCCGCCTCAGGCCCACTCACGCCTATGGGCAGTGGGGGGTGTGTGGAAGCTGGGAGGGGGCAGGCAGAGTCCCAGCAACCAGCAGTTGCCGGCCCCACATCTCCCCAAGGGAGGGAGCTCACAATAACCTCTGGGTGGGGGGAGGGGGCAGAAAGTTTTGTATTTTTGTGTTCCAGTGTGACCTAGAGAACTGTAGTGCTAGCCTTTGCCATTTACAGCAAGGGATGCTGGTCTTCCATTTACTTCATTTTCATAAAGTTTCCTTTGAACACAAAGGTACTTGCTGTCCGTCAGCAATTGAGTGGGCAGATTGTGGGACTTTCACAAGATGGAATTCTCAACCAGCGATGAGAACAAGCAGTCAACTTAGATACATCTCACAAACATGCTTAGCGAAAGGAGTCCCCAGACAAGCGGGCACACCGTATTTGCCCACTGATGTGAAGAAACATGCGCGTTCAGTTGTGATGTTAAGGATCAGGACAGCCTTGGGGGTGCACTGGGCTAAGGGAGGGGGCATGAGGGGGCTTCTGGGGAGCTGGGAGTGTGTTCTTTCGATAGCTAATGGCGTCATGTGTGTACTCGGTTTGTGAAAATTCACCAGCTCACTCACTATTGATCTGTGTGCTTTTCTATATTTATGTGACATTCAATAAAAAGTTCTTAGAGATGGATTTAAGAATTAAGAAAATCCTGGCACAATGGCCAGTGCACACAGAATTTATGAAGGTGAGTGTGGCAAGGTGTGGGGAGGCATCTCTATGAGGAGTCCACATCCTCTTGCCCTTCCTCAGGGGTACTCCTTATTGATACCATCCCCATCTCACAGAAGAAGCACCCCAGCCCAAGTCACACAGAGTGGTGGCAGAGCCAGGCCTGGATGCCAGCCTCTAGCCAGTCTGCCTCCCTCAGCCCTGGCTCGGGCTACGCTCCACCCCAGACCTCAAGGGCTGTAGGCCCCAGCATGTGGCCCACTCACCTCTTCCTCCTTGTGGAGGGCCTCAGCTTCGTTTGCACCTGCTGGCTCTCCTGTCAGGGTCTGGGGAGTGGCCTGGAGCTCTTCAGAGTTCCCCAACAAAGGCTTCCACCAGAACTGCAGGGCCCGCGCCTTCTCGCGCTCTCGTTCCCGCTGTCTGAGCTGCCTGCCAAGCCATGGCCCCAGAGTGCTGGGTAAGCCCCCCTGATTCGGCCCACCATCCCCAGGGTCCCGAGAGTGGCCTGAGGAGGCAGCAGGAGCAGGAGGAGCCTTGATGCCCAGCCATTTCCCATTCCTGGTCCGCAGCCCCCACTTGAGGAACTTGCCCCACGATGCCTCGAGGGATGCCAGCCTGCAGGCTGCTCTCCAACACCCGATTCAACTGCAGCCTGGCCAGGTGGGCCACCTGGCTGCAGAGCACCTCCTCCACCGACATGCCTGGGAAGAGGCTGGCCATCAGTGGGAGCACCTGCCACGAAAGAGCCAGGTGTGGGCCAGGGCAGGGGGCAGACGATGTGGTGCTGCCCTGCCCTCGCAGAGCCCTTCTCAGGGCTGGCGTGGGAAGGGTTTACTAGTTCCTGATTTTACAGGGCCAGACCTCCTTGCGCCAGAACTGGGAGGAGCCTGCCAGGAGGCCCCCCGGGAGGGGGCGCCCTGACTAGGCCAGCCGTAGGTGTCAGGACCGGCTCCTGCGGGTCGGACGTCTAAGCATGTGCCCTGGGGCAAGGGTACGGACTTCTCTGAGCTCTACCCTCCTCACCTGCAAATTGGGGGGGTGGGGGTGGGGGGATAATGTTAGCGGTCCCGTGGGGTGCTGAAGAGGGGTAAACAGAGCAACGCCAGCTGAAGTGGCTGGAACAGTACCTGGCACGGCCTGGCATCGGCAGCTGTTAGTTTTGCTAGGAAACCAGAGCTCTTTTAGGAACAGGGAGTATCTTTAGGCAACCACAGGTATTGACTCTGGAGCCTGCCCCCCTGGCCCAGCAGGAACCTACCTTGGGTTGCTTGGGGCTGAGCAGCAGGACAGTGGCAACATCCAGGCGGGCCCCCAAAATGTTCTGCAGGAGCTGCCGGGTCCTGGCACGGTGCAGGTAGTACTGGGCCTTCTGGGGGTTGTGCTGGATGGCCACTGAGAAGTGGCTATCCGCCTTATGGAACTGCCTGCGGGACACAGTGGGCCACAGGCTGTCGTGCGCTGGGCCCCAGGGAGGGACATGGTGGCTCCTGGGCCCCACTGGGGAGTATGGGATAAATCAGGCTGGTCTCTGCTGCCCCACCTCCACCATGCCCCTCTGCTCTTCTTCTGCCAGCTACCCTTTTTTTTTTTTTTAAGATTTTATTTTATTTATTTGACAGAACGTAAGAGAGGGAACACAAGCAGGGGGAGTGGGAGAGGGAGAAGCAGGCTCCCCGCTGAGCAGGGAGCCCGATGCGGGGCTCGATCCCGGGACCCTGGGATCATGACCTGAGCCGAAGGCAGACGCTTAATGACTGAGCCACCCAGGCGCCCCTGCTGTATGAGACCATATAGTAGCTACACACTTAACGGCCCCAACACTTATGCTAGTACAAGACCCCAGTGTAAGTGAATGTTTTTAATATCCTGGAGTAAGGAGGGCCTTTCGAGAATCTCACAAACCCAGCAGCTAAAAATGAGAAAATTAATTTGACTATGACTAAATCCCAAGTTACTGAGTAGCAAAACCACCACAAAGGAAAGCAATAAATAGGGGAAATATATTTTCCCATAGAAGGCAGACAATAAGCTAAGTTTCCTAGCCTACAAAGAACTCCTGTAACAACAACAACAAAAAGTTTTAATGAGCAATTTATTATTTTTTTTAAAAGTCTTATTTATTTAAGTAGGCTGTAAGCCCAGTGTGGGGCTTGAACTCATGACCCCGAGATCAAGAGCTGCACGCTCTACTGACTGAGCCAGCCAGGCGCCCCTTCGTGAGCAATTTAACAGCAAAACAGGCAAAAGGTTTGGGCCAGCCATAATGACCAACAAACACGAAAAAGATGCTGGACCGCACTAACAATTTAAGCACGCAACATAAATCAACTGTGAGAGAGCATTTTTTTGCCTACTAGATTTGCAGAGTTGAAAACAGTCTTCACGGGGCACCTGGGTGGCTCAGTCGATTAAGCGGCTGCCTTCGGCTCAGGTCATGATCCCAGGGTCCTGGGATCGAGCCCCCCATCGGGCTCCCTGCTCAGCAGGGAGCCTGCTTCTCCCTCTCTCTCCCTCTGTGCACGTGCGCTCTCTCTCTCTCTCTCAAAAAAAAAAAAAAAGAAAAGAAAACAGTCTTCACACCCTGCACTGTGGAGGTTTGGGCAAACCAAGACTCTCCTTTCCCGGAGGAAGTTTATAGTGGCTCACTGTTTGTGGAGAACAACTGGATATTATTATGTTTTCAAATGTTAAATGTTCACACCGTTTAACAACAGTTTAGCTCCTAGCAATCTAATTATGGCATTACTAGTATAATGCATGAAAATGTACGTCCTGCATGCTCATCACATAGTAATAAAAAACAGAAAACAGCCCAATTAGTCATCAGTAGAGGGTTACCTAAAGAAATGAGTTGTACTTCCATAGAATGGAATACTATGCAAATAATAAGAGAGGATGAGGTAGTCCTATATATATAATGACACTGGAAGTTAAAAAGCAAGTCAAAAAACAGTTTAGCATGACTTTAACTTTTGTAAACTGATAATAATTGTTAATATATGTATAGGAAACAATCTGGAGGGACCTTTACCAAACCTATGGGGGGCTTGGTGTTGGGAGACATATTAGAAGGAATGTTCAGGTTCTGAATTGTGCATCATTACCAAACACTTCAGTTTTTTATAAAAAGCACAATTACCATAACAATATTCAGAAAAAAGTGAAGAATTTTTCACGAAAACTTGAAAACTAAAACCGTTATTTAGGAGACATACCTGGGAGAGCAGAGGATCTTGACCCAGGGGTCCCAGCAGGCGGCTCCATGCCAGCACCCCCACCCCACCCCCGGGGACCACCCACAGCCCGCACCTGCTCCTCTGCTCGCAGAAGCCCATCCTCTCCTGCAGTAGGCCCATGCGCAGGTTGGCGCCCTCGTCCTGCGGGCTCAGCGCCAGTGCCTGCTGGTAGTCCGCCTCCGCAAAAATCAGGTTGCCCAGCTGGAAGAAGCAATCTAGGGCCCGGGGCATGGACGCAGGGGCTGAGCAGGCCCCCGACCCCAGTGCCCAGGAGCCTCAGCCCAGCCTGCTCCACCCTCTGGGGGATCCTAGACCGGTGGCTGTGAACTCCCGAACTCCCACTCCCGTGGGTGGTAGAGGGTGCCTGCCAAGGGTTTCCGTGCCTCGGGCACCTTTCCCCAGCCGCCTGATTCTGAGCATTTTGAAGAGACTGTAGCCAGTTTGTCTAAGGCAACACTTCGCAGAATGTGTCCCCAGATCCCTGAAGCTCTTTCCCTCCCTCCCTCCATCCCTCCCTCAAGGGCGCCTTAGAGGGGCCAGGGGCAGCCCGCGCTCACCGCCCCGGTTGATGTACAGGCCCTTCTCCTGCTGCTCGTCCTTGAGGGCCTTGTTGAGCAGTAGCACGCCCTCCTCGGGGGCACCGTGCAGGTAGCAGTGCACGGCGAAGTCATTGTAGGTCAGCAACAGCTGCCGCTGAGCCTGCCGCACCATGCCCTCCTGGCTCTCACTCATCATGTCCAGCGCCTTCAGGAAGTCCTCCACGGCGGCATCAAACTCCTGGAGCCGGCGGTACACAATGCCCCTGTGGGGGAGGGACATGAAGGCCAAGGCACCCCTACCCACTGGGGCGGCCGGCCAGGACGTTGGCCACTCTGGGCCTTCTGACCTGGGCTGGTGGCGTGAAGGCCCTCTCTTCACGCGCTGGTTTGGGTGTGGGGCTGGCTCTAGATTACTAGTCAGATAGCCTGCTGGTCATGGGTAGTTTTGCTTTACCCCAAAATAGCTTCCATCTTTCTTTTTAGGAAGTAGGTGCATGCATACCAACCTCTAAGCTAAGGCCTTTTTGTACCTGGGACAGATGTTTTACCCCACTGTTTATATGAGAAAACCTAGACTCAAGAAAGGTTCCTGGCCCCAAATCATGTAATAAGTCCTGGGCAAGGGGTAGATTCAAACCCAAGCCTTGGCCACTGAGCTGGGCTGAGCCTCCTTGCATAAATGCTCAGCAGGCTTGGGGGTCCAGGATTCCCAGGTGAACTAAGGTGGCTGCCTGCCCCTCCTCCAAGGGCAATAGCAGCTAAGACCTCTCCCTGGCTTTGACCCTAATGGGGAGTAGGGAAAGATTATTAGAGGCTACTTGGGGAAACTGAAGCCTGGGGAGGATCAAGTCCTCTTCTGAGACCATACAGCAGGACCCAAGATGGGTACCTCCCCACACAGTACCGGAAGAGGAAGAGGCTAGGGTCCAGAGGGTTGTTCTCGATGGCACAGTTGATGCGCTGCAGAGCATGCTGCAGCTTGCCCTGCACAGCTAGGATCCCAGCATCCTGACGCGCCTTCTGGGCTTGGTCCACCATCATCTGGAGCAGCACCTTGGCCTGTGGGTGCTTGGGATCCAACAGCAAGGCGCTGTGCAGGTCTCGGTAGCAGAGGCTGGGCTGCAGGGGGCCAAGGATGGCATCAGGGCGGTAGGCTAAGCCGAGCTCTGCTTTGTCCCATGGAGAGGCACACCTCCAGACCATGTCACCCACCCTTGATGTCCCTGCATTGCTGTGCCACCTTTTTTGCCTCATGAAAGCAGCAGGGAGCATTATGAGAAAATCCCATCCCAGGCCCCATCCCTGCTGGTCCCTTTCCAGATGTGACCTCAGGAGAGCCAAGTCAGCCTGGGTGGTTTCTGCTATAGAATGGTGTTGCAGATGCCTCCTCCATGTAGGACTTCTTCTTTTTCTTTTAAAGATTTTTTTTTTTTAATTTATTTGAGACAGAGAGAACGAGAGAGAGAGAGAGCATGAGAGGGGGGAGGGTCAGAGGGAGAAGCAGACTCCCTGCCGAGCAGGGAGCCCGACGCGGGACTCGATCCAGGGACTCCAGGATCATGACCTGAGCCGAAGGCAGTCGCTTAACCAACTGAGCCACCCAGGCGCCCCTGTAGGACTTCTTCTAAGCTCACTCAAGGTGGGCGGAAGGTGTGTCCTCCTGACCATGATTGTCACATCCTCCCTATCCTCCCATGCATATGTCCTCCCCAACTCCCCTGACCTTTAAGCCCAAGACAACTCTGACAACAGATGCAGGCCTAGGCCTGAGCAGAAAACATCCCCAGGCAAATACCTTCCACTGGGTGAACAAGTCTGTCAGTTAGTCAACAAACAGTTTTAGCAAGCATCCTGTGTCCTGTAGGGTAATGGGTTGGACGGTGAGCAGGGCAAACAGTGTGGACACCAGTTGTGAGTGGAAGTCAGGAGGGGGAAGATGGCAGAGGCTCGGGACAGGGCTTTGGAGTAGGTGGGCTTGGGTTCAAGGGCAGCACCACACAGAACTGGCTGTGTGACCTTGGGCAAGTCACCCAGGCCCTCTGGACCCATTTCCTCATCTGTGAAAAGAGGACAATGGGTTGTATCTACTCAAATGATTACCTCAAGTCGTAAAGACAAGCATGAGTCAAGTGCTTAGAACGTGCCTATGCATTACAGGGGCTGAGGTGGCAGGAGGGGCCAAACTCCCACAGTCAATAATTACCAATAATTACTAGTCTCCTACCTTGGAAGGAGACTCTCACTGACTCACTGTGGGGGCCCAGAAGCCCAGCCCCCAGCATAGGGAGGCTCAAGTTTCCAGCTACCCCCAGGATGCACCACCTGGTGACTGAGGTGAACCCGCCCACCCGAGTCTCCCCCTGAGTTTCCCAGCTCCCATGCACCAGCCCAAGCCCGAACACCAGGCATTGTTCTGGATCCCTCCCTTTCCCTCATGCCCTCCCCCATCCATCTCTGCTCCTGACTTCCAGAGGACTGTGGGACCAGCCCCTTTCTGGCCACCCTCACGGCCATCCTTGCCTCCACTGGACTGGACGGCACCCAGGCTCCTGGCCTCCAGTCTTGCCCCTCCAGCCCAGACTCCCCCTGGCAGCCACAGGATCTTTCTAAAGCCCACTGCCCCAGAGAGCAACCCTTTGGAGGCCCCAGGAAGAAGTCAGGGGCCTCCTCGGTTCACAAAACCCTACCTGATGGCCTCTCATACCTGCAGTCCCTCCTCTCTTGTGACCCCAAGTCTCCCTTGTCCCCACACTGTTCCCTGTACTTTCTGGCTCCAAGCCCGGACAGTGAGGCAAATAAGGAGAGACAGGAAAGGAGGAGGAAGGGCCACCTTATCTAACGGATCCTTGGGTGCCCCCACGCTGTGCTGCTTCCTGCACTTGTGAAATCATCCTCTGTGCAATTATGTGCTCAAGGACATCTCTCTTGGGCTCTAACTCCCATGGGGGCAGGATGGCACAGGTTTCTCACCTTGTGGCTTCTGCGGGCCGACACAGGCCTGGCACAGAGCTAGAGCTGAGTGATAGCAGGACAACTGTGCTGAGTGGCCAACGAAGGTCCCCGCCACACGGGCGGCCTGATGGCCTTCCTTAATCTCAGAGTATGCTGGGGGCACCCACAGAGGGGAAGGGCCATCTCCGCCCCGCCCTCCCCGCTCTACCTTCTGGAAGAAGTTGTAGAGCCTGGCCCGGAGGATGAAGACATCAGCATTGGTTGTGCCAAGCTTCTCCTCCTTGGCGATGAGCGAGAGGCAGTCCTGATGCTGTTCGAGGGCCAGGAGACAGGCCATGCTGAGAAGAGAGGGCAGATGTTCTGTCTGCAGGGCGAGAGGGGCAGGAAGGGGCTGCAGGGAGAACACGGCCGCATGCCTGGTGCTCACCATCGGTAACGGAAGCTGGCTTTCTCAGGCTGGAGCGCAGAGGCTTGCGAGAAGACCCTCAGGGCTTCTGGGAAGGCACGTTGCTCAAACAGGCACTGGCCCTGGGGACACAGGGGGCAGTCCCTTCTGCTTGTGACTCTGGCCCAGCAGCACCCACTAGCTACAGGGGGCACCCACTGGGGCAGGAAGGGAGAGAGACAAGAGCCAGGGACACAGCCCTATAGATCTGGGAGAAAATTTAGGGGACAGAGACATAGAGATGGAGAGAAGGTGACAGAGATGGAGAGAGATACAGAGCGAGGGAGAGACAGCAGAGATAGAATTATACAGTTGGCAAGACGGCAATACAGAAACAGGAACAGAAACAGAAAACCTTGGACTTTGTTGGTATTTTGTGGTTCAGTAATTTTATTTTGAATTGTAAATGGGGGATGCTATTACCTTTTTAGTGCTTAGAGCCTCTAGGATGCTAGGTTTGTGTGGTCCAGGACAGCAGCCACTCACTTCGTGTGGCTATACAAATTTAAATTAATTAATTAAATAAAATTTAAAAATCAGTTCCTCACTCACACTTACTATATTTCAAGGGCTCGGCAGTTCCACGTGGCTAATGGCTACCAGATTGGACAGTGCAGAGCAGACCACTATCATCGCTGCAGAAAGTTCTATTGGGCAATGCTGCAGAACTTTATCCAGCCCTGGTGGTAAACCATCTCTGGAGGTAGGAGAGGTCATGAGAGGGGCAGCAGGTGCAGACTCAGACATGGGGACAAGAAGGTCCCTAGAGAGACAGAGCTGGTCCCAGGAGCAAGGAAAACCCCCCACAGCTGGAGGGAGAGCCAACTGGCTTGGGTGTGAGGTGGACATGGTGGGTGGGCCTGCAGCAGCCCAGGGCACCTGCAGGTAAAGGACCAAGGTAAGCCGCTCCAGGTACTTGGTGTTCTCTGGCTGGAAGGAGTAGGCCCTTCGCAGGTTCTGGGCAGCCGAGGAGAAGTCACAGAGTTGGATGTAGGCCTCAGCTCGTAAAGCGTAGAAGTCTACCTGAGGAAGAGGGGACCCAGGCTGCTATCCCCTCTCCACCGTCTGCTGAGGCCTGATGCTCAGTGATCACAAGGGACTTGGTGACCCTGAGAGGAGGAGCCTGGCAGGCAGGACAGTGAGGGCAGTGTCAGCAACCACCTGTACCCACCCCCTCACCAGGTGGGAGTCCAGGTGGAGGGCACGGGAAAAGAAGAGCACGGCCATCTCCCAGTCCTCTTTCTCCAAGCACTGCAGGCCTTGGTGGTAGCTGTAGGGGCAGGGGGGCACAGGCAGAGGGGCTGGCCCTGACTTTGACCAACCCAGGGCATACAGCTGTGGCCGCGGGAGTGGGTTGGGAGGAGGGGGGACGTGGGTGGAGAGACACGGTGGGGCCGGTAGACAGAGACCCAGGGAGAGGAGCCTGGTATTCCTGGAGCTCATCCCGGCCAGCAGCCTTTCATCTGCTGAGGCAGAAGAGCCCTATTATACAGCTGAGTTCACTGAAGCCCAGAGAGGGAGAGTAACTGACCCAAGGCTGTAGGGCACGCCACTCGCTGTGCAGGGTAGGAACCTGGGACCCTGGGACAAGGTAGTGACTCACTACTCCCTGACTTTGAGGGGCACTGTTAATCCCGTGACCTTCGGTTTTACATCATCCAAGTTCTGGAACACCTGGCTGCTCCCAAAGATGCGCTGTAGGGTTCCCTTTGGGACTGGAAACACCCATGGCTTTGGGATGGCCTTTGATTGAGCCGGGTCAAGCTCCAGAGCATCCTAGAACCAAGGGACAGCAAGCTGGGGCAGGCCTCAGAGAGGACCCCCGCCCCTCGTACACACTCTCCTCAGGTGTTTTACAGGATGGACGGGGGCTGGAAACGAGGCTGGCAGGAGGCACAATTTGGGTTCTGGTGGCAGTCCCATTCCCCTTAGGGATGTTCCAACTTTTCTCTCTTCAGTTCTGCCTCTCTCCCTCTCCTATGGTCAAGGTCAGGGGCCAGAGTTCTTACACTCACACTGCACTCTGCTCTCCTTCTGGTCCCCCATCAGCTTCACCTCTAGTTGCAAAACTCCCAAAACCCTAATGTCTCCAGCTCAGGCCCTACCCCAAACTGCAGGCCCAGGAGGTCCCGCAGCCCTTTGCATATCCTGTGGGACCCTCACGCCCAGCAGGGCAAGTTGAACACCTCACCTGACTTCTGCCCCAGGCTTTCCCACCTTGGTGACTCCACCTTTTCGGCCAGTCACCTCTGTCTTATCAGTCCTCATGTCCTGTCTGTCCCATTTCCTAAAGGTCTCTTAGATCCCTTCTCTTCTCTCATCCTCTCGTCTGGGCCAATGCCCTCTCTGCCGGGACGCCAGCTCCGGCCAACTCTCGACCTCCCCAACCGCTCATACGTCTCAAGCCCTCACTTCTCGGTACTGCGGCCAGGGACTTTCCTGAATCGCACAACTTATCCTGCCTCTCCTGTACTTGAAACCTTTCCTGCGAACTCCGCCTCGGCCTCTTCTCTCCTGACCCTCTCCCGCACCTCTCTGGAGTTTGTCATGAATTCCCCTCCCAAGGGAGGACCTCTCGAGGCCCACTCCGGACGTTGCCAGGCACCATCTCCCGGACGCCCACAGGCTCCGCCCCCTCAGGCCACGCCTCCGGAATCCAAGGGTTGTAAGAGCCGGAAGGAGGTTAGCAAACTTATCAGCCGGGAAGGCTGAGGCTACGTCAGGGAGAGGACTTGCCAGGTTTCCGCAGCGTTGCAGGGCCACAGCAGGGGCCAGAACAAGGCTCCCTCCTCCCGACCCGGAGGTCACATAAGGGCTCCGCGAGTTCACAACAAACTCCACAGAAACACCGTGAGGCGGCGCCGCGGAACTAGCTGAGGCGCCAGTCAAGGCCACCGCCCCGCCACTTCCGCCCCTTAGAAGCCCGGCCCGCCCGGGATTGGACACTGGGGACAGTTGGCCACCGCGATTGGTCGAGGGCTGATAACGTCAGGGGGCGGGGCCGAGAACGTGAATAGACGTAGCATGCCGCCGCTCGGCCGCCTGAGAGCGACGCTGTGGATGAGTCGGGCCATGAGCCTGGGCGTTTTGGAACCCCGACCCCCGGGGAAGCGGTGGCTGGTGAGTAGAGTGGGGGGCGGCGGCCTAGGGGCTCCTGGGCCCTAACTAGCTCCTGTTCTGCCATTGTCTCCGGACAACATTCCCCAAATTCCTTGTCTCGGTTTTCTTATCTAGAAAATGGATCCAGGGCACCTGGGTGGCTCAGATGGTTAAGCGTCTGCCTTCGGCTCAGGTCATGATCCCGGGGTCCTGGGATCGAGTCCCGCATGGGGCTCCCTGCTCCTTGGGAGCCTGCTTCTCCCTCTGCCGCTCTCTCTCTGTCTCTCATGAATAAATAAATAAAATCTTTAAAAAAAAAAAAGAAAATGGGTCCAATATAATGACGGACCCTAAACTTCTGTGAACTCTGCTCGGACCGCTCAGTTCGCGGGGCCCTCAGCCTTCTGGAGTCTCCGGGGTTTCTGGGCCCCCTTCTTCGCGCCCCTTCCCCACTCTACCCTGCCCTCCATTTTCCTTTCTCTGGCTTGGGTCCTAGGGGGCGCTCTGAGGTAGAGGGTGGCGCGAAATGTCGGGCCTCAGTTTCCCTGGTGCCGCCCGCAGGTGGTCGGCCTGGGGAACCCTGGACTGCCCGGCACGCGGCACAGCGTGGGCTTGGCGGTGCTGGGGCAGCTGGCGCAGCGGCTCGGTGTGGCGGACGGCTGGGCGCGCGACCGGCACTGCGCCGCCGACCTCGCCCTGGCCGCGCTCGGGGATGCCCAGCTGATCCTGCTTCGGCCGCGGCGCCTCATGAACGCCAACGGGCGCAGCGTGGCCCGGGCGGGTGAGTTGAGGGCACCCGGGGAGGCCGGCCGGGAGGGCGCCGGGGCCAGAGACGGGGTTCTGGGCGGCGGCAGAGCTGTTCACCTGCAGGTGCCTGTTGGGCTCCAATTGCTGCATATGGCACTTGTAGGAATCTCAGCTTCTTTATAAGTGAAATGGGGTTAATTGCGGTCCCTCCTCCTGAGAGCTGTGAATCGGGACCACCCCCCTGGGCTGATGGGCAGTAACCAGGGCCACTGTTGTCTGTGCCCAGCGGAGCTCTTTGGGCTGACTGCTGAGGAGGTCTACCTGGTGCACGATGAACTGGACAAGCCCCTGGGGAAACTGGCTCTGAAGCTTGGGGGAAGCTCCAGGTGAGGCCCTAAGCAGGTCAGGGGGGGCTAGGGAGGAGCCTCCCAGTTGGAGTAGGATACCAGTGGCCATCCCAGTCTCGGCAGGGAATAAGGGTGCTCTGACCCTGGCGGGGGCTGGGAGGGGTGAGGGGTGCTGATCCACGGAAGCAGTAATTGCCCCTTCCATATCCCTTTGAAGGGGCCACAACGGAGTCCGTTCCTGCATTACCTGTCTCAACTCCAATGTGAGTCTGCCCCTCTGTCCTGCGCTGGGTCTGGTGGGCCAACAAGGGGCCCCCGACACTCCTTATCAAAGCTCTCTGGGCCCCTCTGACCCCCACAGGCAATGCCGAGGCTGCGGGTGGGCATCGGGCGCCCGACACACCCTGACACGGTGCAGGCCCACGTGCTAGGCTGTTTCTCCGCCGCTGAACAGGAGCTGCTGCCTCCATTGCTGGAGCGAGCTACCGACCTGCTCCTCGACCACATCCGTGAGCGAAGCCAGCGCCCCCCGTCAGGCCTTGCCATCAGTGGACACGTGCCTGCCTGACCACCATGCCCACGCACCCAGCCACATCCACAGAGGTGTCATGACAACTTGTGGTATCTACTTTTTATAGAACTCTTCTCTGGGCTGCCCCAGGCTGCCTGTGAATTAAAGAGGGGACTGTTGCCATGGTGGTCCACTTCTGGAATGGGGATTGGTCTTCTCTCTGTGTCTTACTTGGAAAGTAGAGAAACTTCAGGAAGACTAAACTTTTTGAACCTTTTTAGAGAACCAGAGGTGTGGATCTGTAAGATTAAAGATGCGCCTTGAAGCTGAGGCCTCCTCAGGGGATTCCCTCCCTTCCCCTGCCAGCGGAGGAGGGGCCAACAGGGTCCAGCATGCCCCCTTCCCAGGCGATGTGTGGACATGCCTTAGCCCACTGAGGCCTTGCCACACTTTTCTTTGGCCCATTTTACAGATGGAGAAATGCAGGCTTAGCGAGCTAGGCACAGCCCCCAGGCCTTAGAGCTGCAGTGTGGCAGAGCGGGATCTGTACCCTGGGTTGGCTGCTGTCTTGCCGTCCCTGGGGCCCCTGGCACTCTCACCTCAGGGCAGCTGTGCACTTGGAAGGTTCCCACACGGGTGGTGTGTGAGAGCAGCCTGAGGTCCTCGGGGTTGGGTGGGATGTGGGCCCGTCGAGGCACCAGGCCCAGGTCCCCCGGTTGGTAGGGTGTGATGCTGGATAGCTGCTGGGGCAGAGACCCCATCCTGGGGGGCTGGGTGCTGGGCTGGCTGTGGAGAGGGCGCTGGCATCACCACCTCCATTTCATAGTTAAGGAGGCTGAGGGTCAGAGAGGCTTTGGGGAGCCAGGTTTCTGGTGGCCTAGGGTCAGCCGAGAAGAGCCCTAGGACAAGTTCCCACAGCTGCCTCCTCTGAAGTCATACAGGGTCACTCACTTACCTCTCCTTGGGTGGGCCATGGGGCTGGCTCTTCCGACCGGGACACACAGCCAGCTGGGGGCTAAGGACCAGGGCCGAGCTGAGCATGGTCAGCAGCTGCTGCAGCATCTCCTTGAGCTGTAGCTGGAACACTACATCAAAGTTGCCGCCCTCCTCATCGGATTGCATCTGCCGGTGGGGGTGGGCCCATGGGGATCAGGCCCAGAGTGGCCCCAACACCCACCTCTGGGAAACTCCAATCCCAGTGCCGGTTTTCTCCAAGTGCACCCTGGCTGTGATGGGATACCCATTCTGCAACTGGGAAGCCTGAGGCATGAGGTCTTTCAGGGCCTCAGAGAGGGACTCCAGCAATTTTGAGACCAAGGGATCTTTGCCGGATCAGGAAAGGACAGACTTGCCAGGAGTCTCTCAGAGGAAAGGTGGGGCCTCTGGCCCTGGCCCAGCCCCTCCCGGTGTCTCCAAGCAGTGTCTGACATTGGCCCACTCCCCCTGCCCCTGACTTTTACCCACTTCCTGTCACCTGTAGAATGTCCTGTAGGAAGAAGGTGGCTTGGGCCAGGGCTGTCTCCAGACTTGCCCGAACCTTCTGCTCTTCGGTCAGCTCCCGCTGTAGCCTTTGTGCCTTAGCCTGCTGCCTCTCCAGCTGCAGGTTCAGCTGGTCTCTCTGACTCCTGGACCCAGGACCGGGATGAGTCAGCCCCCTCCCTGTGCTAGGCGGTTTCTCTCTAGCCCACGGGGGCCCTCATCCAGCCCCGGGCTTTAGCCTGTTCGGCAGACAAAGCCTCAAGACCCCTAGAGAAAGGGGAAGCCACTGGCCTATGTCAGGTCTTGTGGCCCAAAAGAGAGGGCCTCAACCCCCCTCCCCCCCCTTGCCGCCACTGCTCGCCCCTTTGTGGCCCCACCTCAGTGCCTGGTGGTCGTGCTGTAGCTGCCCGAGGCTCTGCTCCAGTTGGCTCAGCCGGAGGCACAGCCGCTCGGCCTCCGCCCTGCCCTGCTGGTGCTCGCGGCACTTCTCGGTCAGCATGAGGATGACCTGCGGGTGCGGGCAGGTGGCCGTGCCCTGGGCCCACCGCAGGCGCTCAGCCAGCCCTGCTCCCCCAGCTCCGGACTCAACCAGAGCTCACCCCTTTGTACAGAGAAGCCAGCCAAGGTCCTGGGGGCCCAGCACCGTGTCTGGTCAGAGCCCCCGGTTGCCCAGGGGTGGGTTCCGCTTCAGTGAGTTATAAGGGGCTTTAGACCAAATAAAACCAGAGGTGCACCCGGCACCCAGGAGCCCCCACAAAGGGCTGTGTCCCCTCACTGCTGCCTCCCTCATGACTTGGCTCCAGCCTGGGATCCAACCCTGCCAGGCTGTGTTTGCCCTGAAGCGGCACCCCTAGGGTTCCCTCCTGCTCTATGTGCCAAATGCCCCGTGACGAGGGCTTGGCGGGCACACCTTATGGTGGCCTCTGCTATGCCTGGCCATGACCTTCTGGGTGTTCTCCAACAGATCCAGCTGTTTGCACAGCTTGTCCTGGGTGTCCTTGAGCTGCTCATTCTCCTGCAGCAGCTGCATGCCTTGCTGGGATATCTTCGACAGCTGCAGGGTGACCGTGTTGTTCTCCATGATGGCGCGCTTTGTCGTGTCCCACATCTGGTTAGTGGCCACTTTACGGAACTCGGTGGCCACCAAGTTCACACGCTGGATGATCTCCTTCCTCAGTCTAGTCAGTATGGGTGGGAAGGAGGGGGCATCAGGCAAGTGGGCACATGCACTGCCCTCCCATGTGGGGTTCCCCAGAAGGCTGAGGGCCACCACTATGCTCTATTTCCCAGGAGGAGCGGGGATTCAGGCAAGAGGCTTTTCACGGCAGACCCTTTGTACCTCTGGCATTTTGAACCATATCAGTATGTATTATTGTTACCTATTAAGTAAATATAATTTTTAAGTCACAAAAAGTGGCAAAAGGAAGTCCCAAGGATTTAGTAATGCCGGTGTAAGGGCTAGAGCTGGGAGCTTATCTATTTTCTC